CATATATTTACTGGAAAAAGGCATCATTTCAGGGCACACATGCCTTCCCCATAGAAATTAATGGTGCAATTCTATGCACACTTATGTAGAAGTAAATCTAACTATACACTTTGAGACCTACTTCCAGGTTAAGATACATATGACTATGCTCTTAAGATACACTTATTAAAATCAATACTTTTGCACAAATAATAAATGAGACAGTAAGAGCATCTAGAATAAAAATACCTAAAACAAAGTTTTTGCGATCTAAATTGATAGATAGATAGACCTTCTTCTGAAAGGTTTGTATCTCAATGTCCTATTTTCGTACAATTTTGAAACTCTTTCTGCAAAAAAGCACCCACTGGAACGAGTGCCTAATCCAATTTACTACAAGACAAATTATTCTTTATTGTCAAGGTGATTTCATGGTAGCATTCTCAGGACAGGCAGATTAAATATAACCCCAAGCAAAATGGAGCATTTATTTTTTCATGCCTATTGCTACTACGCCAAATTTTGAGCTGTGAATTAACCAAAATCTTTGTGCATCAGTCATCAATCATCACTAGTTTTAGGCAGCAACATATCTTCTCTGGTCACAACACTATAATGCAAAATAATCCTTCAAGACAAACTAAGAATCCTAGCATAATGACACAAGTATTCAAACTACAGTTTTCATTCTAACAGCATGCACATTTCATTTCATTCATTCCCTTATATCTGCCTCATGTCATATTTGTAGATCAATATCAGGATTTTTTTCCAACAAGAAATATCTTAAGCTTCATAGTTATTTTTTTCTAGCAGCAGAATGGCTCTGAGAAAAACAACTGATGAACTGCAGGCTAAATTTTATGGTTGTGAGAATTAGCACAGAGTCTTCTGGACAAAGAATGAACTACAATTTAGCAATATTTAGGCTACAATTGAGTACATTTATCCTCCTATAACCTGCATCAACAGTTAACACATTGAACGCAACTTACAGAGTAGGCTTAGGAGAAACCGACCCTAAAAAGAATGATCTTCGCTATGTTAGGGAGAAGAAGTGGGAAGGAATAAGCAGTGGGGAGAAAATGAAACTGGGGTGCTTGCTTATTTTCGAAGTATTCAGTATGTCTGATACCTTGTTTTCTAAGTATTCAGCTCTATGTGGGTTGTCTTTGAAGACTGTTCAGAAATTTCAAGTAGTCCAATGGGCAGCAGCCAGATTTCTCAACAAAGCAGAGTACAGGGAGCATACAACTCCTCTGTTACGTCAGCTCCACTGCTTGCCAGCCTGCTACTGAGCACAATTCAAAATGCTGGCTTTAGCCTATAAAGCTCTAAATGGTTCTGGCCCAGCTTATCTATCCAAACATATCTCCCTCTATTAACCATCTTGGAGGTGATGGCTTTAGCCTATAAAGTCCTAAATGGTTCTTGCCCAGCCTATCTGTCCTAATGTAGCTGCCTCAATGAACCATCTTGGAGGTTAAAATCTTCTGGGGACACCCTGCTCTCAATGCTATGGGGCAGTTGGTGGGGACAAGTAACATGGTCTTCTCAATGGTGGCCCCTCAGCTATGGAATTCCCTTCCAAGCAAAATCTGATTAGCCCCTTCTCTCCTGGCCTTCAGAAAGAAATTAAAGACATGGCTATGGGAACAAGCCTTTGGACAGTAATGCAGTCCAGTAAGTGAAGATGGAATATGTGCACTTATGACTGGAACGGCCCTTTGACTATGTTTTTCGGATTGCGTGGTTTTAATAATAGGTTTTAATGTTTATATGCTTTTTAATTTTATGTTTTGAATGTATGTATTATTTTATTACATGTCTATTTTATATGGCATTGAATTGTTGCCTATTGTAAAGCCGCTCTGAGTCCCCTTTGGTGTGAGAAGGGTATAAATACAGTAAATAAATAATAAATAATTTTTAATGAAACAACATTAATCTTACCAGGTTACATACTTCAATCCCTTCCCATGGACATAATATGTCTAATTTAAGGTTCAAACATAAAAACTCATATACAAAAACTATGAAAACATACTTAACAATTTCCAGCATTTATGTTCTACTGCTCTGATCGAAAAAGATGAGAGTTTTGTTTACTATATGTTTTATAATGATTTCCAGTCCCAAAGAGACAAGCTGTTTTCCAAGATGAACACCAGATTGCCTTTCTGCAGTGGAAAGGTCTGAGGCTGAGGCAGCACAAAAACCTGTAATATGCACACACTGCCCTTTGCTATGTGCATACATCACTTTTTCGGTTTACATCTGGGAACAATAAGCAAGTGGTCATGCACTTCATCTTTCTTTTGCGTTTTTTTTCATTGACTCTAGCTTCTTAAGAGGGAGGTGTTCAAGCTAATAACAGGTCCCACAGGGCGCAGTCTGTTGGGGATCCTTAAACCAGGACAATGGTGTTCCTATTACCAACACAATTCACACTGTTAAGTATTTTCCCCAGACATCCATTCAGAACACCCAAATTCAAATGATTTCTGAGAAAAGAGTTATTTTCATTTGTATACTGATTAAAAGAGCACTGACGTGTTCAAATAAGTACACTTTCTACTGTATTGTTGTAGCCCGATTAGAAAAGTAAACATAATTCCCTACATCTACTTGCTCCCACCATTGATTCAACAATGTTATGTGAAAAAGCCTTGAACATTTCAGCAAAATACGGTGATTTGACAGATCTCTACTGCCCTCTAGTGAGTAACAGCACAGAATATTTAGGTCAGTGAATAGTCAGACCTCAATTATTATTATATTTCTTGTGGCTGTTTTGTGGGGTTCAGAAAAATAAGTAAAGTCCTCAAAGTAACCACTGTTTCCTGAGATGATATACTTTCCAAAAAAAATTCATGCTATAGTTTGGTTTCAGTTGGTTTTATAATCATTCAAGTTGCAATGCATTCATAATATGAATAGGATTTTCAAAAAACATTGATAAATTTTGTAAATAAAAATCAAAAACACATCCTCAAACAAAGGGCTGGGTAAATATAACGTCACAGATTCACACATTTTGGCTAGAATTCCTGTTCAAGTAAAATCTGTACTTGCTACCAACCATGTCGCACTCTCAGAAAGAGCACTGGGATCTTCCTCGGGAGATCCTATGAAAGATTGTAATGGAAGGGCTTCTTGAGTCTCAGTACTTCTGTTTCAGCTTGATGTTCCTTTCCACTGTGGATATTTGATCCTTAACCTTGAAGAGTTTTTAAATGTATTACTTCCCCAGATATCGAGGTTATGATAGTGACTAAATTTTAAAAATCCTGCTGCCTGTTCTCTTTTGACATAGCCCAGAGAATACTTTACACTGTAGTAAGGAAATGTTAAGTGCAATTTCTTAAGTCCCAATAACCTTCTCCTTACAAGCCACACAGAAAAAAGTTATTCCTTATTCATCACTGATCTCTTGATAACATCCAGTTTTATGCTCTAGGTATACTTCAAAAAAGTATAAGCACTTGGGATTCCTTAGCACCTAGAGATTGCATTGAATGATAGTCTTTTAAGTACAGGTGCTCTCATGAATAAACCATCAGTCACATTCAGACAACAAATGTACATAAAAGTTCATTCCTGATGACTTCCTTATAACTGTGGAACTTTTTTCTCTAAAGGATCTCTGAAACAATGTCTCAGACACCTCTTAGAAGCTCTGTAGAAATTCCCTATTTGGACCATCATTCAACTGTCAGAATTCAACAGTCACAGTATGTGTGTGTATATATATAGTGTAATTTAAACTGATCCCTGGGCAACGTCCTTGCAGACGGCCAATTCTCTCACAACAGGATGCTCCTGACACGACAAAAAAAAAACTGATGTGGGTATACTAGTCAAATTAGCAAAAAAAGTATTTTAATGAGAGCTCACCTATTCAATATTTGACCTTCTAAAAATTCAAGAACCACTGAAAACTTACCCGGGTGGTCTGACTAGTTAGAACAGCGGTTCCCAACCTGTGGTCCGTAAGAACAAAAAAATGGTCGTGGTCTCACCATTACTACACAGGTGCCTCAAAACCATGCAGCAACGAGAGCAACTGATCTCACGAAACCCTTTTATAGTGCCAAGGTAATGGGGATGTCGGCAGGGGAGAGGCTGACTATCCATGATAGAGTACTACTCCCATATCAGCTCTAGATTATTAAATATGGTTTTCTGTGGGTGAGCAGATGGCAACTACTGAATGGCACCTGTATCAGAAACTAGAGCTGATGTGATCTATCCAATGCAATTTTCTGAATCGGCACCCCAAATAACCAAACCGAATCTAAAACTGATTCGAACCCTTTTGGTACTAATTGGAGAGTGGTCCCTGGTCAAAGTGATCCCTGTTCAAGTGGTCCCTGGTCAAAAAAAGGTTGGGAAGCACTGAGTTAGAAAGAAACATGCAAGGCTGGGAAGAACACTAGCTTCGCCTTCTCCAATGTCCCTCTGCACTAGTGTATTATGACAATCTGTAGAAAATTCTTGATATGTGAAAGCTCTCTAAGTCAATTCCAGTTTAGAAATGCATTGAGAGCCTTCATTAATACAGAAGGCTCTCTGCCTCAGATGGTCCTTTATCTAGTACAAACTAGCCACAGACTGAAGAGTAACAATCCTTGATCTCAACTTTAATTATTTGAAGAAGTCAACAATACTGGGAATTCCAGCATTGTGTGAGGAAAAAAGAGAAGTGTTTGCCACACAAGATTCGTGAAGTCCTTCACATTTAGCAGGACAATGTTATCTTAGTAGAAAATAACACCAAAGGTGATTTAAACCATGCTTCTTACAAGTAATATCTGAAAATTGGTTCAAAATCCATATTAATTTCATTTTTGTGACCTTCGAGTTGGCCTAATAAAAGTATTGCACTGAAAGAAGGATTTGGAGATTTTTCTGATGATTGACATAGCTACCTTTGCTTTGCCTGAAAACTGATGCAAACTTATTCAGCAGTAGGAGCACAGCAGTGACTTTTAGAAAAGGATGTGGCCAAAGCTTCTTACCTTTGAGTCTTCATTGATTATTCCAAGTTCTAATACAGCTTTAGGAGATTTTTGCTTGGCTTGGGTGGACTGAGCCATCTGAAGGTTAAGCTGCCATCCAACTGAATCTAGCTATAAAACACAAATGCATACAAAGTAAGATGAACCCGAAGTGACAATAAAGCAAAACATTATTTTAGTTTGTAAAACTGCTTGTGGGATGGTTAAGGGATGGTGTGAGCAAATACACCCTGTCTAGAGACTGCTAAGAAGCAGGCTCTCTGCAAATTCTCCATTCTCCCTTTGACTTAACATTACAACCCTGAAAAATAGCAGATACTATTACAGGGCAATCACCAAAGTAAATTACGAAGTTGTTCAAAGTATGTTAGTGTGATGAAACCCATGAATGTTTGCTAGCTCTTAGATCGTGAAGGTATTAACCACCATAGCCATGAAGTGTCTGTGAAGTGTCTGTGTTGAAAACAATAAGTTAGCAACAAAAACATAGGGCATGCTGATTTTTTAGCTTTTTGAAGTTACACATGCATTTGAAAAAAGTATTCTTTTTTCAAATGTTACACATTTTATTTACAATCAGCGATATAAAAAATTCTATAGCCATATATTACTATGATGATTATTATTATGTTTATTTATATCCCACTTTTTCTCTCTACATAGACGATCTGCCCCTCATGGCCAAACAGTTCTACAATTCTATTTTTATCAAATATTTGAAAGCTGGGTTATTTATAAATATTTTCTTTCATATATCACATTTGTTTAGATGTGTGACTTCCACTAGGAACAACCACACAGGAACACCATATGGCGTACCAATTTAAATGTTGTACATGAGAATGATATTTACAGCATGAAAGAAAGAGTTCTGATTTTTCAAATGTTTGGGGTAGAACTGATAAATAGATCTACGATACTGGATTTATAATTTTTAGTGAAAAATATTGGATTTATCATTTTTAGCTAAAAGCAGAATCATATCCCAAGTTTCCACATGATGGGTGGGACATCTTGGTGGGCTTAAAGTGGTCTGTGAGCTGAAGTTTCCTCATAAGTAGTTTACACTAACTGGCCCTGGGAGGCTTTCAGTAAGTGTCTATTCCAGTCCTGTGTCAGGAACTGAAAATGGAAATGCAGGGCACACATTATACAGTAGAATCTCGCTTATCCAACATAAGCGGGCCGGCCAAACACCGAATAAGCAAAAATGTTGGATAATAAGGAGGGATTAAGGCAAAGCTTAATAAAAATAAAATTACATTATAATTTTACAAATTAAGCACCAAAACATGTTTTACAATAAATCAACAGAAAAAAACAGTTCAATACATGGTAAAGTTATGCAGTAATTACTGTATTTACAAATTTAGCATCAAAACATCGCAATGTATTAAAACAGTTGTGGATCCAGATGGGAGGCAGACTGCATTGGATAATACAGAATGTTGGATGAGCAAAGGTTGGGTAAGCAAGACTCTACTATACAACCCTTTCCCATATGTCACCAAGACAGTGCAAAATGTCTACTTACAAAATCTGATACACTTTGCAAAAGGCAGTAATTCCAAGGAAAACTAAATAAATAATAACTAGATCCTTTTGTGAGGAATAGGTAATTTCATGCATGTTCTAAAGACAGCAACCCTGGAAAATGAACTCCACCAAGCCAGCTATCTTTCCAATCACACCTCCTCATGCAATGCTGTGATGCATTTCTACCACATAATATGGGGATGCAAGAAATATGGTAGTTTACTTCACCATTGTATTTTCTCTGTGACATGCTTATGTCATCACATTTGTACTAAGAACAAACATGAAAGGCAAGTTTTAGATTTAATTTGTAGGATTTTTTTAAAGCAGGAACACAGAAGTAATTGAACAATCTCACAAACTGTACTACAGTTCAGTGGGGTTAACAAGCAAAGGAAAAGGCAAGTAACCTTTTCATAGATTGAACAGTCTTACATTGCAATGCAATTCAGGCGGCCTTCCCTCCCCCACTTCTACCCTCATTTCTAGAAGTATCGCTATGCTTTCAGAATCTTTGATTAATGTGCCATACCCTGCCAGGGGCTTCAGAGTAGCTTACCTATTTATTTTATTGAAAGGAAGATTGAATATAATAGAGTCCATCCAATTCTGACTGCTTAGAGTACATGATATATGGCCATAATAAAATGAGACAAGGTATGCAGGCATAGAGAAGTGGATTACTTAAGACATGCTGAGAATTAAGAATTAAGCCTTAAGTTATTTTATATGGATCACTTTTGTAAGATGGTAAACAGATATTGTTACGTGGACTGAATTATTTACCAGGAACAAGGTCTAAGGTTAGTTTTTTAAAAGCATAATTACAAGGCTTGATATTGTTTCCCTGAACCCACAACTATCTGATGGTGGGAAGCTTTAAGGATTACCTACTATAGCGGAGAGAAGAATCCCCATATACCAATGATGTGTTTTAAGTTTCCAAACCAAGCATATATGCATGCTCACAATCACTTCAACAGTCAAGCTATTCTAAGTATGTACTTTTGCTTAAGAGCACAAGTGTCTAACAAGATCAAACCAAGGCCAGTACTCTTTGGAAGAAGTCCAGCTGACAGATGCTAGGCAGTCCAGCCAAAATTGGCCAACATCCCATTTTCTGCAAGATCCCCACACTAAGACACAAGGCTCCTTCCTGAGGGCATAACATAATCCAACCATTTCTAAATAAAGTAAGTTTGAGAACTTTGCACCCGAAAAATGCATCTGTGGACGATGAAGGAGAACATCCTTTTTATATTAACTTACACAATGTCATAAAGGTAAGTGACTGGAAAATGGGGGAAATACATCCTGTCCCTCCTCCAAAGCTCTACCCTATGAACCATTTTCATTACAGCAGCACACATTGTATCTTCTTTTATTTAGAAATGCCCTGCTATCTCTGATAATAAGCTCCCCAAGCAATGTATGTAGCACAGCCGCTGAAAGACAGAATTTCAAATCAGGTTGCCCCTAGTTCAAAACCCATCCCTTTTGTGAACTTATCAAATGACATAAGACATTCCACAATTTCTCAGTACAAGTACCTCTCCATGCAAGATGGGGAATCATAATAATAGTTTATTGTACAGATTTGTTAGGACTGCGGGAGGGAACCTTTCTAAACATTGCACAAATATTAAGTATCATTATTATCAGATGGCCAGTGCACTGAAAAACTGCCCCTAGCATTTAGAAAAAGGGGAAAGGGAGAGGCAACAGAAAGAACCAAGAAAAACACCAGACATCAACATTCAGACTTCACTATATATATGTGTGTGTACTAGCCATCCCCTGCCAAACGTTGCTGTAGCCCAGTCTGTGTATATGTGCTTTGTGTGTATATATATTTGTGTATATACGTGTGTTTGCGTGTGTATATATATATGTGTGTGTGTGTGTGGTTTTGCACATGCGTTGTATTTTTTTAACTTTTAGCTTTTTAAGTCCCTTCCTCTGTGTTTTTCAGTGTTTTCAGTGTTTTTATGAGTGATGGTCACTTGTTGGCCTGATAGGTGTCTTGTGTCCAAATTTGGTGTAAATTTGTCCAGTGGTTTTTGAGTTATGTTAATCCCACAAATGAACATTACATTTTTATTTATATAGATATATATATAAATAGACGTTCCTGAACTCTCATGCTGTATTTTATGACTTCAGTGCTGTAGTCCAACCCTCAAGCAGTCTTGAGAGCAGTGACAATCCGATTCAGCAGGAACTGTGCTATCTAGAAATTAAAGAATGCTAGAGTATTTTAGTTATTATGCCTTGCGTGTGCACAACCATACTTCCAGAAACACTCTTCAATCAAGACCTAACTAGTCAAAAATAAACCCAGTTTATTTCTAACTTGTCAGAAATAACCCCAGATAAATTAAACTATCCAAACTGACCATTTAATGCATGGAAAGCCAAACTGCATTTCATGTATGCATTTTTGCTATTGTCCTAACGAATACTGGGGAATAGGGAGAATTCATAACTACAATGATCTAAATGGAATACAACATTATTAAAAAGTCACATTAACTGACGTTACTTATTCTTGTTCTCAATTGGTAACTGAAATAAAAAATGTGTCATGTGACTTTGGTCCAAGCAACAAGGTGTATTTCCCCCAGAATGAGGATAAAACAGTGAGTGAAGAAATTGGAGAAAAAGACAAGCTATCCTGGGCATTCACAAGTGAACTTACAGTAACTCGATTTACAACTGTGTTAAAAGTGTCTCTGAAATAATGAGAAAGGTGACAAAAACCAACATCATTTAACAATGGAAATCCAGCTAAGAAAAGAAGCTATGCACCATTAAACATTAGAGCATGAGGATCTTTTTCCTGACAGTGGTTGTTAGCTCTTGAAAGAGAACACTGCCAGAAACAATATTGGAAGCTACAAACCATCTACTCTTCAAGTAACTTTGCTCCTTCTCAGTAAAAGGGCTCTTCTCAAAACCATGTTAGTCTTCCAAGGAATCCTTCTTATTTATCACATTTCTTAATAGACTCAGTGTTGAACATCTCTCAAATCATTCAGTTAATTAGAAGTATTTTTGTACCACAGGCAAATACACATGCACACTTTGTTGAGAAAACAGAATGGGTAAAGAATTTAGTGGCTCTACCAAGCTTTTTCTATGGAAACTCCCATGAGCCACCATCAGGATAGCCAATGGTGAGGAATGCTAGGAGTTCAAATCCAACAATATCTGGAAGGCTTTTTCTTACCCACTCCTGACATAGATATTCAGGTACAAGTGGGGCTTGCAACAAACCAAATGTTACAAAATGTTCTTGCTGATGTGCCAGCCAGTTCTGTCCTTTCCCAAAATGCTCTGTTCCAATACATGGGGCTGCCTTGGAAAATGGTTTGGAAACTCCAATTTGTTCAAAGATCAACAGCTAGGCTGTTGTTGGGAGTGAACATAAGAAAATACACTACTCCACTCCGTAAACAGCTGCACTGGCTCCCTATTAGTTTTTGGGCCCAATTCAAAGTGCTGGTGTTGATCTTTAAAGCCCTAAACAGATTCAGAGGCTGACAGGCCTAAGCTAGCTTTCCCAAGAGAACCAA